TGGTTCTTGTGGTTCTTGTCTCGGTTTGGTTCTTGTGGTTCTTGTCTCTTACTGGACTCTAACCCAGATTCTCTCTGGTTCCTGCAGCTCAGCTCCATTCTGTTCAGGAGGAGATGAACATCCTCGAAGAGGAGAAGGAGAATGAGTTAGAGGAGGTCCAGCAGGAGCTGCGCTTGGCTCAGGAGGAGGTGCTGATTCTCCAGCAGGCAGCCGAGGAGACGGCGGCTGAAAGGGAGAACGACATCGCCTCCCTGCAAGAGGAGCTCTGTCGTCTGAAGGCAGAGCTGCAGCGTCTCCATTCCACCACGGCTGAGTACGAGCTGGAGGTGAACACGCTGAGAGCCGAGATGATCCTGAAGAGCCTCAACGCTGACAAACGTGGTAACTGTAACTAACAGGGTAACTGTAACTAACAGGGTAACTGTAACTAACAGGGTGACTGTAACCAACAGGGTGACTGTAACTAACAGGGTAAATGTAACTAACAGGGTAAATGTAACTAACAGGGTGACTGTAACTATCAGGGTAACTGTAACTAACAGGGTGACTGTAACCAACAGGGTGACTGTAACTAACAGGGTGACTGTAACTAACAGGGTGACTGTAACCAACAGGGTGACTGTAACTAACAGGGTGACTGTAACCAACAGGGTGACTGTAACTAACAGGGTGACTATAACTAACAGGGTGACTGTAACTAACAGGGTGACTGTAACTAACAGGGTGACTGTAACTAACAGGGTAACTGTAACTAACAGGGTGACTGTAACTAACAGGGTAACTGTAACTATCAGGGTAACTGTAACTAACAGGGTAACTGTAACTAACAGTGTAACCGTAGCTATCAGGGTGACTGTAACTAACAGGGTGACTGTAACTAAAAGGGTGACCGTAACTAACAGGGTAACTGTAACTAACAGGGTGACTGTAACTAACAGGGTAACCGTAACTAACAGGGTGACTGTAACTATCAGGGTAACTGTAACTAACAGGGTGACTGTAACTAA